GAGGAAGACTTCGCAGAATGGTCGAACGAAGATGTAGTGGATGAGCAGAGCGAGATTGATGAAGAATCTCTACATGGGATCGGGGATGCAGATCTTGAGTCAGCCAGGGGATCCTTTGTGTCTAAGCGGATGTCTACATCTCGCGACTCGGTTGAACATCCACTTCTTTCTCGCTACCTGTCCGCCAGCTCGTATGGCCGAGACCGACGATCCGGCAGTCGGTTGAATCAAAAGGTCTATATTGCGTCGGAGGATTTGACGGCTGTCTTTGCAGGATTTTCCACGAGTTCTGGAGGGTTTGCTGTCTATATTGCCCTTTGCATCTTGACCGGTGGATTTGCCTGGCTCCTCTTCCGATGGCTGCCACGATGGCGGGTAAAGTTGATTGGGAAGGCAACCCCGATAGTGAAATGTCAATGGGTGGCTATCGAGGTGAGATTGTGAACTTCCCATCCCATCCACTAACCGTCTGACCCACGATAGGACCAATGGAATCAATTCACAATCCATGAAGTCGGCAGCCAACCCTATGGACGTCCGCTTTCCACTGTCTTCGCTGACTCACTAAGTCACACTTACGATGAAGATAATGACCCGACTATTGCCTCTCTACGCTTCATCGACTATCGCTATCTGAAGTTCTTCTATCATCCAATCGAGGACAAATTCTCCTTGATAAATGGCTGGAAAGATCCGTCGTGGAATAATGCCAAGGTCATGCGAAGTGGGTTGGATGCCGACGAACGAGACAGCAGGGAACAGATATTTGGAAATAATGCCATCGAAATTCACCAAAAGACAATTCCTCAGCTTCTCGTCGACGAGGTTAGTTTTCCTTCTGGTTGTTTCATGAATATGTCTGACAGTACATAGGCCTTTCATCCTTTTTATATCTTCCAGATTGCCAGTCTCGTTCTGTGGTCCATGGATGAGTACTACTACTACGCCGTCTGTATCTTTCTTATATCGTTTTTCAGCATAGGAACAACCGTGCTAGAGACGAAATCAGTGCGTTTAGCCCAAGAATTAGACCAACCCCCAGAAACTAACGGTGCTACAGACAATGAGTCGGCTCAGGGAGATATCTCTATTCGAGTGTGATGTTCGCGTTCTGAGAAATGGATTCTGTGAGTTCGTTCGATGTATCATGTTACTGGATGATGTAAACTGATCGTTTCTACAGGGCGGTCCGTTTCCTCGCAAGAGCTGGTTCCTGGTGATGTGTATGAATTCTCCGACCCGTCGCTTCACCAGGTCCCGTGTGACTGCATCTTGTTATCAGGGGACTCCATTGTGAATGAGAGCATGCTCACCGGTTCGTACAAAACTTCGATATTTACATATACATCTAACTCGAATAGGTGAATCCGTCCCCGTGTCTAAAACACCACTCACTGATGACGCCCTCAAATATCTCGACCTCAGTACCCCTTCTATCCACCCCCATGTTGCTAAGCATTTCCTTTTCAGTGGAACAAAAATAATCCGGGCTAGGCGACCCCAGAACGTTGACGAAGATGAAGCAGTAGCATTGGCAGTTGTTATGAGAACCGGGTTTTTGACAACCAAGGGGGCTCTAGTTCGATCGATGCTTTTCCCAAAGCCTTCTGGATTCAAATTCTATCGCGACTCTTTCCGCTACATCGCCGTGATGGGGATTGTCGCCCTTCTCGGATTCGTCGCTTCATTTATTAACTTTGTTCGATTAGGCGTAAGTCAACGCTCGGAAGACCATTTTTCCAAGGTTATTTTGGCGCTGATACGAACAAAACACAGCTCGCTTGGCATCTGATCATAATCCGAGCCCTCGATTTGATCACGATTGTTGTACCGCCAGCACTCCCAGCTACACTTACCATCGGAACCAATTTTGCGCTTTCACGACTGAAAAAGCAGAACATATTCTGTATCAGCCCACAGAAGTGAGTGGTCAAAGCTGAATAATGTCTTAGCCTCGACACTAATACATGGGACCAGGGTCAACGTGGGAGGAAAGCTGGACATTGTTTGTTTCGATAAAACTGGAACCCTCACAGAAGATGGGCTAGATGTGCTAGGAGCGCGTATAGTTACCCGTGACAAAAGGTTTGTCTGTTTCTAAGTATGATCCTTAAGCTGGCGCTGAAGTCGAATTTCTAGGTTTTCAGAGTTGCTCTCTGAGACATCTGATGGGTTTCTTCTTCCCTCCCCAAATGCTAACTCCAAATGCGACATCGAAAAGCAAAGGAAGATCATGTACGCCATGGCTACGTGTCATTCCCTCAGGGTAGTGGACGATGAGCTGTTGGGAGATCCTCTCGATGTGAAGATGTTCCAATTTACCAACTGGACGTTTGAAGAAGGAGGGAATCATATTTCCGACCAGACAAACCCCAAATACGACACTATAGCGCCGTCAGTTGCAAAGCCCCCTCAACGACAGACCGGTGACGAACAAGATGTAAATGTGAGTTGATTTTATTAAGACCACGGCCTCAATTCTAACAATATTTAGAACTCTCTGGAGCTCGGAGTGCTGCGGAGTTTCGAATTTGTCTCCCATCTTCGCCGCGCAAGTGTTGTCGTCAGGAAGTTTGGTGACAATGGAGCAAGTCTCTTTGTTAAAGGTGCCCCGGAAAGCATCAAGGACATATGTATTCCTGGAACACGTCAGTGCTCTCTCTCCCCCCCCCCTCTCTACGTAAGTTTGTGTTTCTGATGTACTTCCTTTTGCAGTCCCTTCGGATTATGAAGATCTCCTGAACTACTACACCCACAGAGGATACCGTGTGATTGCCTGCGCTTCCAAACATGAACGAAAGTTGAGCTGGATGAAAGCTCAAAAAATGACGCGGACGGATGCCGAGTCTAACCTGGAATTCCTGGGCTTCATTATATTCGAAAACAAGTTGAAACCCAGTACTGCCGGTGTGATTTCCGAGTTGAACGAGGCGGGCATTCGCAATGTAATGTGCACCGGTGATAACATCTTGACTGCCATCAGTGTTGCTCGTGAATGCAACATGCTTGGACGTGATGAACTATGTTTTATTCCGCACTTTGTTGAATGTTTGTTTTTACCGCATCCAAGCCATGATCATAATTCAGTATTAACGATACGCAGCGCCTGGTCTTTCATCCAAAATCTCTCTCATATGGGAATCTGTGGATAATCCAGATCTCCAGTTGGATCCAAGGACACTCTTGGTAAGATATCTTTTCCCTATATCCAATCACTAGCAGCTAATGCAATTGCAGCCCATGAACAACACGGATGTCGATCTGTCAATTCCAGGAAACGGTCTCACTGAGCGTGAATACTCTGTCGCTGTCACGGGTGATGCGTTTAGATGGTTGGTCGACTTCGGGAATGAAGATGTGCTCAAAAAGGTAAGCGGCCGTCGTACCGACTATTTCCACTTCTTACCATGTCTCGAACTAATGTGTGCTGTATAGGTACTTGTATGCGGCAAAGTGTTTGCTCGTATGTCCCCAGACGAGAAGCACGAACTGGTTGAGAAACTTCAATCTATTGATTATTGCTGTGGCTTTTGCGGCGATGGTGCCAATGATTGTGGCGCTCTGAAGGCTGCAGATGTTGGTATCTCATTATCGGACGCTGAGGCGTCCGTTGCCGCGCCCTTTACTAGCCGCCTGTTCGAAATCTCCTGTGTTCCGACGGTGATTAGGGAGGGTCGAGCTGCTCTGGTGACAAGCTTCTCCTGTTTCAAGTTCATGAGTCTTTATTCTGCCATTCAGTTCTCCTCGGTCAGCTTCCTATACACGTCGGGGTCAAATCTTGGTGATTTCCAGGTAAGTGAGCTATATTACCAAAGGGGTTTGAGGGATCGCTAACGGGTTCAAGTTCCTTTTTATCGACCTTGTGCTCATTATGCCCATTGCAGTCTTCAGTGAGTGGTCTATCTCTACTAGATTTGATTCTTTGAGCTAACTTTCTTCTAGTGGGCTGGGCTGATCCTTCTCCCACGCTGTCTCGGAAACGGCCAACGGCTGATCTTGTCTCGCGTAAGGTATTGACACCTTTGCTCGGGCAGATCTTGCTAGTTGTGCTGTCACAGTTTGCAGTGTTCCAGACTGTTCAGTTACAGCCGTGGTCAGTAACCATCACCATAATACCCATCAAAATTGTTCTAACAAACGATGCAGGTTCTTGCCGCCACAACTGGACCTGGAAAAGAGCAACATTGTCAACTCGGAGAATACGGCTTTGTTCTTGTTCTCCTGTTTCCAATACATCTTCATCAGTATTGTACTGAGCGCGGGTCCGCCATTCCGGAAACCAATGACTCAGAATGGTAAGAATCGCACCACACCCACTTCATTTTCTTGCTCATCTAGATATTGACTGTGATTGTCTAGTGCCGTACTTATGCACGATCATCGTCAACACCCTGATCTCGGGCTATATGCTCTTTAGACCATCCAACTGGGTGTCGGAGGTGATGCAACTGACTTTCATGTCTGATGTTTTCAGATGCTGGCTACTCGCGCTGGCACTCGGGATCTTCGTTCTGTCCTGGACAGCAGAGAAGAACATATTCCCACGCGTGGCACAGATGCTTGGACACGCTCGTGCCCGCTTGCAGCCAAACTACCGCAAGAAGCGCAAGATGTACAAAGTGCTGTTGGAGGCACTGCGCCTATGAAGTACGCCTTAAAGCACTCACATTGTACGTTATAAAATACACATAGACCTGTAGATTGTCATAGTCTTTGGATATGACCTAGTCATTCGTCTATAGAGGCTCGGCCTCGGCCACTAGGGCCACAGAGTTACCATTCCAGAAAATTGAAAAGAAAGGGTATGATACAATTCGGCTGGTAAATAGCTATCGTGAACCTGGCACTTGTGGCTTTTGACATGCACTCGGCAACACCCGGCTCGATGTTCCTATCTCCCCACTCCAAGCACATAGCACACAATGCGGCCCAACCATAACCGCTGCCCTGAATGATAAAGCGGTTGCGCAAGAAAAATGAAATCGACGATTGTAATCGGATCAGTGGTCCCAAGGGTGCTTCCAGCCCAACAGAGCGGGACCATCCTTCTTGGCCCGGTACATGAGCTACCCAGAAGACTCCTGTCAGTACAAGTTCTCCATATCAAAAGAAGGAAATCCTTACGAAGAACCACATGCTAGCGCCCAATGCGGTCGCAGTGAAGCGGTAGAGGGGTCGGACCGGGTGGATGTGGATAGGGTGGGAGGAGTTGCCCGCCATGACTGTACAGATTGGAAGGCAATTAGTTTCCACGGAATTCGTAAGAGCGGATAAAGATGCGTGTAAGACGTACTATGCGCTGAAAATGGCTGTTGTTGGTTCACAGAACGCCAATCTCGAATCGGATCTGAAGACGGAGGGTTCTGCGGTTCAACGGGGACGGAGAGGTTGGTGACACGTGACCCGTGAGTGACGGCACTCGAATTCCACCGCAACGTAGCGCTTGGATTGTTCGGCAGGACTATCAGCAGAACAATCATTTATATCATTATTGGAGAGCTGTCTGACTCCCATTGTATTTGTGCCTTGGTTGGGCTGGTTCCTATTCAGGTTTATATTGAGCCTATTGCATGGCCGAGCTCCGTACACGAGGCCTTTGAACAATGCGAAATCGTCACACATGCTCTTTACCATGATATGGACTTGCCTTCTAACATATTCCACGCGCTTGATTCTCCCCGAGAAGATTTACGTTAATTCACTTTGACGACGCTTTCTCCTCACCCTCTGTCTTCGAAGGCTTCTCGGACCCTTTCCCGTGTATCTCGACGCAACATCAAACCAAAGTATACCGAACGTCTTTGCCGTGATCAATAATTGATTTCGACATAGTCACCGGCTAGCACAGTCAACTTCTCCCACCGGCTGAGCGACCAGCACAAGCGACGAGTCGACATGGCGATCAAATCCCTGGAAAGGGACGAGAATGGCCAGGCCCGTTTCTTTGGCTGTTCGAACATCCGTGACTATGAATTCCTCGACAAGCTGGGAGAAGGAACATTCGGGTGAGTCTGGCGGTGCTATCACTGATAGAAACCGACTGACTGGTTGATAGCGAGGTCTACAAAGCAAGGTCCAAGAAGGACACCAAAATTGTGGCCTTAAAAAAGATCCTAATGCACCACGAGAAAGAAGGTGTAAGTCCACTGACCCTTCGTTGTTTGTTTTCATAAACTGACCTTTGGTGTTGTGCTAGTTTCCCATTACCGCCATCCGAGAGATCAAACTCATGAAGGCGCTCTCCCACCCGAACATTCTGCAGCTCAAGGAGATGTCAATTGAGCGAGGCAAAGGCGAAGGACGGAAAAAGCCGAGCATGTACATGGTCTTTCCATACATGGAACATGACTTGTCAGGACTCCTGGAAAACCCGGCAGTTACGTTCACCGAACCACAGATTAAATGCTACTTGATGCAACTCCTCGAAGGGCTCAAGTTCATGCATGCAGTACGATCGTCTTGAAACACCCATCCCTGCAATATTTGTCTAACAACTTCGCAGAACCGTATCCTACATCGTGATATGAAAGGTAAGTGTTGACTAATGATATATCATAGTTCTGAGCTGACAAAATGAAAAGCGGCGAACCTCCTAATTAGCAATGGAGGAATTCTCCAAATCGCTGATTTTGGTCTTGCTCGGCCTTACGATGATGCCCCTCCACTACCCGGAAAAGGAGGAGGAGAATCCAAAAGAGAATACACTGCACTTGTTGTCACGAGGTGGTACCGTCCCCCAGAGTTGTTGCTACAGCTACGGAAATACACAACGGCTATTGACTTGTGGGGGGTTGGGTGAGCTTTCCATCCCTGGTGGCCAGGTGTATCATTTTCTAATATCCTGTAGCTGTGTTTTTGGCGAGATGTTCAAGGGCAAGCCCATCCTCGCTGGGAACAGCGATCTTAACCAAGCAGAACTGATATTCAATCTCGTGGGCACTCCCAATGAGGAGAATATGCCCGGATGGAGTCAACTCCCGGGTTGTGAGGGCGTAAAGAACTTCGGAATCAAGCGCGGGAACCTCCATGGATTCTTCAAAGAGTATGTTACTTGTTTTCCCCTCAGAAGACCTGGGCCCTAACCAACCATGCGACAGCCTAAACCCGGTAGCTATTTCTCTATTAGGCGAGTTCCTCCGACTAGACTGGAGGAAACGCATCAACGCCATGGATGCATTGAAGCACCCATATTTCACCACCCACCCACTCCCAGCACGACCCGGCGAAATCCCCCAATTTGCAGATTCCCACGAACTCGACCGAAAGAAGTTCCGCAGCCAGCGGGTGCCGATGCCCCCGGTCCCCCCAGCCCCCTCCGACACAAGCAATGGTGGTTGGCCAAGCTCTGGTTCTCGTGGACCAGACTCCCGACATAGCCGCGTCCCTGGCGCCGCCCGCGGAGGCCGACCAAATGCACCAGGAACGCATGGAGGCCATGGACATCACGCAGCGCACGGACACCCGCAACGCCGCGGGCCTTTTCCACCTACACAAAGAGATATCGGATTACCCCCGCGTCCTCCCGTACCAAACAACCCCCCATGGGATGGATCGCAATCCAACAGACCTGACGGGAGAGATGATCGCCGAAATCAGTTCGGACAAGGTCGCCCAGGAGGCAGATCAGGGAACCTGGATTCTTATGTTCCGAATTACAGCAGCAATGACCGCGGCAGTGACCGCGCCAACGATCGCTCGCGAGATTCTGGCGAGCATGGCTCGCATTCAAATGCCGATTGGCGCTCGACAAGTCGACGTGATTACCGCCGGGATCCCCCATCAAGAAGAAGGAGCCGCAGTCCCGGCTACAGAGATGGGAGTCGAGGTTAGAGTCATGATGTCCAGCAAGTTCTCACTTAATGCATTCTACTTAGCCAGTCAATCCGTGTGGATGATATATGGCAGATGAAAATGGAAATGGAAATGAAAACGAAACATTCATGTCATAGCTTTTCCCTAGTAAATGGTGCATGGTATTCACAAAATATACACTCAACCGCTTTTACATCAGTCGTATCCAACTCGATATACTCGTGAGTTGGCAATTGCAATCTTGTAATATCCTAGGACCTCGTTGAGAGGGTCCCGTTGCAATTGAGATCAAGCCGTGTGAGGGCCCATCTATCTTAAGTTGATTAAAGCATCACAGCCCGGAGGCTAGCTTGTTTTGAATCGGTTGTTTAGTACAGCACGCGGGTCATGATGCGAGCTGGAGAGGTGTTAGCTTCAAGTTAATGCGCGAGAGAAAAGACATGATCTCACAAGGAAGGCTCTCGAGACTGGTATACAAATCCTTGATGGTGGCAGCGTCCACATTGCTGATATCAGCCATCAGATAGGCAACCTACAATAGTTAGTTTCTGCTGTCTTATTCTTGTGTGTGAAATGCACGGATAAACATACATCGCCTCTGCTATCGGTCATCTGCTTGTCGACGTTGTGGTCACCAATAATCTCGTTGACTGTCGCATTGTCAGTTAAAGATCGCCTGATTTGAATGAAATGTACTCTACCTTTTCGCAACACTCCAGGAATGTTCTTGTGGATGTAGATCACCTGGGCAACATTAGTATGATTGCAAAACCGGGTAACTGCACGAAGCAACTTACACGAGCGTGGTCAGGCTCGTCCATTGTCAAGGAACGGAGGACAACCTCGGGCAAATTGACAGCACCCAGGGTCGAACCCTCATTAGCATATCGGACCAGAGCCTGGGCAACTTCGACGCCAATAGCCTTCTGAGCCTCCTCGGTACTTCCTCCGATATGGGGGGTCAGGATAAGGTTCTTGAGCGAGCGCAGATCAGCTCCCCAGGCGTTCAGATCGTTGTTGAAGTAGTCACCGTTTCCGGCGGGCTCATTGGGATACACATCCAGAGCGGCACCAGCAACCTTACCGCTGCGCATGGCATCGATAAGTGCGGGAATATCCACAACGGTTCCTCGGCTGGCGTTGATCAGGTAGCTTCCCTTCTTCATCTTCTCGAACTGTTTCTGTCCAATCATGCCCTTGGTCTCGGCAAGTTCGGGGACGTGGCAGGTAATGAAATCGGCTTCAGCCAAGAGATCATCCAAGGTCTTCATCTGGCGAGCAGTACCCAGTGACATTATGTTGAGCACGTCGTAGTAGATGACGGACATTCCCATTGCCTCAGCCAATACGGACAGCTGGGCACCAATGTGGCCGTATCCAATGATACCTGAGAGGTCAGCCAAACACCCCAGAAACAACAATAGTTGGAACCACATCACATACCGATGGTTTTTCCACGAATCTCCCAACAACCGTTGCTCACCTTGTTCCAGGTACCAGCGTGCATCTCGCTGGAGCGGTCACCCAATTGACGCGCAAGCATGACCATTTCACCAATGACCAACTCGGCAACGCTGCGAGAGTTGCTGAAGGGGGAGTTGAAGACCGCAATACCCTGGTCAGCGGCATATTGGAGGTCGACCTGGTTGGTACCGATACAGAAGCAACCGATGACGATAAGGTTCTTTGCTTCCTTCAAGACTCGTGCGGTGAGCTTCGTCTTAGAGCGAATACCGATGACGTGGACATCCCTGCAATAATACAATTCATGAGCTCTGTGAGTCACCGAGAGGGAATTAGATTGGGACCCACCGAATCTTCTCAATGAGCTGATCTTCTGGGAGGGAAGACTTGAGGAATTCCACCTGGTAGCCTTGCTGGGAAAGGATCTCACGGCCAGTCTGGTTGACATTCTCCAGGAGCAAGACCTTGATATCTTCTGTGGCGAATGGCTTGAGGGGCTTAGCATTGACTGGAACCGTACGGTTGAAAGCAGAGCTGTGGCTGGATGGGGAGTGGAAGGAGGCGTTGGGGGAGGTAGCGAGGAGGGACGCATCGTCCTGACGAGGACGGATATCTCTTGCGATTGACATGATTGATTGTATAGAGGACTGAAGCAGATTGAAAAGAAACTGTGGATGGGTGCCCAGGTGGTCCACATGGATGACTCTTAATAGAAATTAAGTAAGCCCCCAAGGTCTCCGGAACCGGACTTGGTGATTCTGGTTTCGGGGATTTACATTCGCAACTATACACTACATAGTATGTAAATTTGGATCTTGTTATTAATTGATTCTTATTACTATAACTAAATACCT